TCCGAAGGCGGAGGGCGCAGGAGGCGAGCGGAGAAGGCCTCCTTCATGGCTGCAGCCATGGAGGGGGCCTCCCGGTCGCCTCTCGCGTCCTCCGAAGGCGGAGGGCGCAGGAGGCGAGCGGAGAAGGCCTCCTTCATGGCTGCAGCCATGGAGGGGGCCTCCCAGTCGCCTCTCGCGTCCTCCGAAGGCGGAGGGCGCAGGAGGCGAGCGGAGAAGGCCTCCTTCATGGCTGCAGCCATGGAGGGGGCCTCCCAGTCGCCTCTCGCGTCCTCCGAAGCCGGGGGACGCAGGAGGCGAGCGGGGAAGGCCTCCTTCATGGCTGCAGCCATGGAGGGGGCCTCCCGGTCGCCTCTCGCGTCCTCCGAAGGTGGAGGGCGCAGGAGGCGAGCGGAGAAGGCCTCCTTCATGGCTGCAGCCATGGAGGGGGCCTCCCAGTCGCCTCTCGCGTCCTCCGAAGGCGGAGGGCGCAGGAGGCGAGCGGAGAAGGCCTCCTTCATGGCTGCAGCCATGGAGGGGGCCTCCCAGTCGCCTCTCGCGTCCTCCGAAGGCGGAGGGCGCAGGAGGCGAGCGGAGAAGGCCTCCTTCATGGCTGCAGCCATGGAGGGGGCCTCCCAGTCGCCTCTCGCATCCTCCGAAGCTGGAGGGCGGAGGAGGCGAGCGGGGAAGGCCTCCTCCATGGCTGCGGCTGTTTGGCTCACACAGGAGGCCGCAGCCATTTCGGGGGGGGGGGCAACCGAGGCGGCTTCGCGACCCCCCAAAAATGGCCCAGCGACCCCCTTGGGGGTCGCGACCCCCAGGTTGAAAACCGCTGCTCTAGAACATGGTCATATAGCCAGAAAAAAACCTAAAACAACCCAGTGATTCCGGCCATGAAAGCCTTCGACAATAAAATAGACCTTGTCATTTGGGAGTTGTACTTGCTGGGATTTATAGTTTACCTACAATCAAAGAATATTCTGAACTCCACCAATGATGGAACTGAACCAAAATTGGCACACAGAACGCCTATGACTAAGACAAAATACTGGAAGGGTTTTGGTGAGCATTGACCTTGAGTTTGGGAGTTGTAGTTCACCTACATCTAGAGAGCACTGTGGACTCAAAACAATGATAGATCTCAACCAAACTTCACATGGATACTCAATATGCCCAAATCTGAAAATTGGTGGAGTTTGGGGAAAATAGACCTTGTCATTTGGGAGTTGTACTTGCTGGGATTTATAGTTCATCTACAATCAAAGAACATTCTGAACTCCAAACCTGGCACACAGAACTCCTATGACTAAGAGAAAATACTGGAAAGGTTTGGTGGGTGTTGACCTTGAGTTTGGGAGTTGTAGTTCACTTACATCCAGAGAGCACTGGGGACTCAAACAATGATAGATCTGGATCAAACCTCACACAGATACTCAATATGCCCAAATGTGAACATTGGTGGAGTTTGGGGAAAATAGACCTTGTAATTTGGGAGTTGTACTTGCTGGGATTTATAGTTCACCTACAATCAAAGAGCATTCTGAACTCCACCGAAGATGGAATTGAACTCAACTTGGCACACAGAACTCCTATGACTAAGAAAAAATACTGGAAGGGTTTGGTGGGCATTGACCTTGAGTTTGGGAATTGTAGTTACATCCAGAGAGCACTGTGGACGCAAAACAATGATATATCTGCAAACTTCACATGGATACTCAATATGCCCAAATGTGAACATTGGTGGAGCTTGGAGAAAATAGACCTTGATGTTTTGGAGTTGTAGTTGCTGGGATTTATAGTTCACCTAAAACCAAAGAGCATCCTGAACCCCACCAACGAAGGAATCTAACCAAACCTGGCACACAGAACTCCCACGACTAGCAAAATATTCACTCCTAATTGAAAATGGATAGGCCTGACAGATGGGACTCCCATTGGGAAAAACTAATAAGCAAGCAATAATGGTGTAGTTTTCCTCTGGTTTGCAGCATCCCAATTGTGGCCGAATGCCAGGAAGGTGCCTTGCTGTTATTGCCTACCAGCATTTGGCCACAATTGAGGTGATATAGAGCTGCATGCATCCACAGGATCTCAGCCAGAGTTTCCTGGAAACTTGCTCCAAACCAGCGGCCAGCAGCTTAAGTCCTGGCACAGGTCCATAGACCACCACTTTGAGTCAAACTGTTTAATTTAAAGTAACTCTATGATTGACAATAACTGAGTGATTTTAGACAATTGGAATTAGTACTTCACACCCTCGAAGCCAGTGGCTCTCAACCTTCTTAATGCCGTGACCCCTTAATACAGTTCCTCAAGTTGTGGTGACCCCCAACCATAACATTATTTTTGTTGCTACTTCATAATTGTAATCTTGCTACTATTATTAATCATAATGTAATATCTGATATGCAAGATGTATTTTCATTCAGTGGACCAAATTTGGCACAAATACCCCATACACCCAAATTTGAATACTGGTGCAGTTAGGGGTTGATTTCATAGAATCATAGAATCAAAGAGTTGGAAGAGACCTCATGGGCCATCCAGTCCAACCCCCTGCCAAGAAGCAGGAATATTGCATTCAAATCACCCCTGATAGATGGCCATCTAGCCTCTGTTTAAAAGCCTCCAAAGAAGGAGCCTCCACCACACTCCGGGGCAGAGAGTTCCACTGCTGAACGACTCTCACAGTCAGGAAGTTCTTCCTCATGTTCAGATGGAATCTCCTCTCTTGTAGTTTGAAGCCATTGTTCCATTGCGTCCTAGTCTCCAAGGAAGCAGAAAACAAGCTTGCTCCCTCCTCCCTGTGGCTTCCTCTCACATATTTATACATGGCTATCATATCTCCTCTCAGCCTTCTCCTCTCAGCCTTTAGGTTATAGTTTACCTAAAATTAAAGAGGATACTGGACTCCACCGACGATGGAATGTAACCAGTCTTGGCACACCGAACTCCCATTACCCACAGAAAATACTGAAAGGATTTGGTGGGCATTGACCTTGAATTTGGGAGTTGTAGTTCACCTACATCAGGAGAGCACTGTGGACTTAAACAATGACTTAAACAATGATAGATCTGGACCAAAATTCATACAAATACTCAATATGCCCGAATGTGAACATTGGTGGAGTTTGGAGAAAATAGACCTTGATGTTTGAGAGTTGTAGTTGCTGGGATTTATAGTTCACCTATTTATTTATTTATTTATTTACAGCTATTATATTCCGCCCTTCTCACCCCGCAGGGGACTCAGGGTGGATTACAGTGTACACATATATGGCAAACATTCAATGCCAATTTTGACATACAGACATATACAGACATACACAGAGGCTATTTAACTTTTTCTGGCCACCAGGAGAGCTGTCGCTTTCATCGTCCATCTGCGACGCTGATGAAGTACCTCTGCATTCCTCGCATGCTTCCCTGCTGGAGTGCTTCTTTATGGCCTCATAAATTAGTTAATTTTAGCCTCCCCACACTTTTAAGGTGGTACCTTATTTTCCTACTTGACAGATGCAACTGTCTTTCGGGTTGCAAAGGTCGACAATGGGCTACACAATGGTTGGAAACCCACTCCAACCCAGGCTGGCTTCGAACTCATGACCTTTTGGTCAGAGTGATCTTAATGCAGCTGACACTCAGCCAACTGTGCCACATCCCGGTGCCTGCGCCACCTACCAATCCCTGCGCCACCTACCATCAAAGAGCATTCGGAACCTCAACAACAATAAAATTGGAGACTCGTTGGCATGAGCCTCCCTCCATCCTCATGTGCTCTCCCTCACCCACTCATGCGCACCACACTGCCACGTGCCGAGCACGCCTGCTCTCCCCTCCTCTCTTGGAGTCTCAGAAATGGTCTTCCCCTTGGCTGAGAGGCCAGCCAATCACAGCGGTGGCTATTGGTGGGAAGATTAGTCTCTGAAAAGGATCATTGGAGGGATCTTCAGCCTTCTCTGCCAAAAGGGTTCCTAAGACCATCAGAAAAATATGTTTTCTGATGGTCTTTGGTGACCCCTCTGACACCCCCTTGCAACCCCCCTCAGGGGTCCTGACCCTCAGGTTGCGAAACACTGCTCTAACCTAAAAAGTACAGCAGTCTAGAACAGTGTTTCTCAACCTGGGGGTCGGGACCCCTGAGGGGGTCGCGAGGGGGTGTCAGAGGGGTCGCCAAAGACCATCAGAAAACACAGTATTTTCTGATAGTTATGGGGATTCCATGTGGGAAGTTTGAGCCAATTCTATCGTTGGTGGAGTTCAGAATGTTCTTTGATTGTAATGAACTATAAATCCCAGCAACTACAACTCCCAAATGTCAAGATCTATTTTCCCCAGACTCCACCAGTGTTCACATTTGGGCATATTGAGTATTTGTGCCAAGTTTGGTCCAGATCCACCATTGCATGAGTCCACAGTGCTCCCTGGATATAGGTGAACTACAACTCCCAAACTCAAGGTCAATGCCCATCAAACCCTTCCAGTGTTTTCCATTGGTCATGGGAGCCAAGTTTGGTTCAAATCCATCGCTGGTGGAGTTCAGAATGCTCTTTGATTATAAGTGAACTATAAATCCCAGCAACTACAACTCCCAAATTACAAAATCAATCTTCCCCCCAACCCCACTAGCATTCACATTTGGGTGTATTGGGTATTTGTGCCCTGTTTGGTCCAGTGAATAAAATGCATCCTGCATATCAGATATTTACATTATGATTTATAACTGTAGTAAAATGACTGTTATGACGTAGCAACGAAAACAATATTATGGTTGGGGATCACCTCAGTATGAGGGACTGTATTCTGGGGTCACGGCATTAGGAAGGTTGAGAACCACTGGTCTAGAGTTTAATACAGAAAAATGCAGCTTCCCAGGTCCTCCCAGTTAGCATGACCAGTGATCAAGCTTGCTGTGGGATTTTGAGTTGTAGTCCAAAATCTAGCTTCCCCAAGACATTCTTAACTTTTTTTTCCATTTTGACAAAATGCCTCAAAAAGTTAATTTTCTTTCTTTGCTTCAACAGGAGCCCCAAATAACCTGGCACACACGGCGTGGAGAGGTAGAGGTACTGAGGACAAGAATGACGGAACGGGACCCCCGAACCAGAATGGGGTCCGGCAGCAAGAAGAAAACGAGACAGACTAGCACCGAGAAGGAGAGGAGAGCTCGCGCCTGAGTTTCGACACTTCCGCCCCACCTTCTCCAGAGTGACTTTAAAGAAAACTGGATATGATGGAGGAAAAATCAACTTCCCAGGAGGAGTTTTGCTGAAGCTTTGGCTGGTGGTGCCTGGCCAAGACTCAAGACGCGAGAAGCTCTTCCTTCACCAGACACTTCCCTTCATGGTTGGAAACCATGGAGAGAAAGGCAAGAATGGCAAAGCTCTCCACGAAACACTAGCCAAAGGCAGGGCTGTGCCGTCCAAGGAACCTCCCTCCTGTTCCCCTTCCGGCAGATAAAGGGCAAGTCCCCCCAGCTCTGCGCGGCCCTTCCAAATGGCAGGCCATCGCTGGGCCGTGACATCAGCACTGTGCACATGCATGGCGGCCATGTCTCTCCTGTACGTGGGCAAGGTGCAGGCCGACTGCTGGCTGATCGAGGGCGAGAAGGGCTTTGTGTGGCTGGCCATCTGTAGCCAGAACCAACCCCCGTACGAGTCCATCCCCCAGCAAATCAACAGCACCATCTTGGACTTGCGGCTGAATGACAACAAGATCAAAAGCGTGCAGTTCTCCTCCCTCAGCCGCTTCAGTAACCTCACATACCTCAACCTGACCAAGAACGAGATCTCGTACATCGAGGACGGTGCCTTTTCGGGACAGTACAACCTGCAGGTGCTGCAGCTGGGCTACAACCGCTTGAGGAACCTGACGGAGGGGATCCTGCGGGGACTGGGGAAGCTGGAGTACCTCTACCTCCAGGCCAACCTGATTGAGACTGTCACCCCCAATGCCTTCGGAGAGTGCCCCAACATCGTGAACATTGACCTGTCCATGAATAGGATCCAGCGCCTGGACAGCAACACCTTCAGGGGCTTGACCAAGCTCTCGGTCTGTGAACTCTACAGCAACCCTTTCTATTGCTCCTGCGAGCTCCTGGGCTTCCTTCAGTGGCTTGAGGGCTTCACCAACATGACCCGTACCTATGACCGCATGCAGTGTGACTCCCCGCCGGACTACTCCGGCTACTACCTTTTAGGCCAAGGGCGGAGCGGATATCGCAACGCCCTGGGCATGCTCTCCTCTCTCTGCACCGGTGGCCCCTACACCATGCCGCCTTTTGTTATCCTACCCAAGAACCCCGTGACCACTGCTCTTCCGGAGAGCCCATGCCCTGAGGAAGAGTGCTTCTCTGGCGACGGCACCACACCACAAATCTCACTCCACACACCTGTGATCGACCCGGGTTTGTATCCGACCATGAAAGTCAAGCATGTGACTCACAACTCAGCTGTGCTGAGCGTGCAGATCCCAGCTCCTTACAGCAAGATGTACACACTGGCCCAGTTCGAGAACGGTCGCTACAACATCCTTGCCAAGCTTTTGAAGAAGAAAGAGGAAATTGAGCTGACCGACCTGGGCCCCAACGAAGACTACACCTACTGCGTGACCTCCTCCAACCGAATCGGGCGGTATAACTACACTTGCCTCACCCTCAACCTCAACAAGCAAAACAGGGAAGAGCCAATACCCAGCCCGTCCACTGCCACTCACTACATCATGACCATACTGGGCTGCATGTTCGGCATGGTGATCGTCTTGGGTGTGGTGTACTATTGCCTCCGGAAGAAGCGCCACCAGGAAGAGAAGCACAAGCAAGCTGCCATCAACATGAAGAAAACCATCATTGAGCTGAAATACGGGCCAGAGATGGAGACCACCAGCATCTCTCAGCTGTCCCAAGGCCAGATGTTGGGTGGGGAGACCATGACCCGCATCCCTTACCTCCCATCTGTGGGGGAGGTTGAGCAGTACAAGCTGATCGACAGCAGCGAGACCCCCAAAGCTACCAAGGGCAACTACATGGAAGTACGAACTGGCGAGCAGCCCGAACGGAGGGACTGCGAGCTCCCCATGCCGCCGGACAGCCAAAGCTCTGTGGCAGAAATCTCCACCATCACGAAAGAGGTGGACAAGGTGAACCAGATCATCAACAACTGCATCGATGCCTTGAAGTCAGAATCCACGTCTTTCCAGGGGGTGAAGTCGGGGGCGGTGTCTACTGCCGAACCCCAGCTGGTGCTCTTATCCGAACAGATCCCCAGCAAACACAGCTTCCTCACTCCTGTCTATAAGGAGAGCTACAACCACCCGCTCCAGCGGCACCACAGCATGGAGGGCCCCCCAAAACGTTCCAGCACTTCTTCCAGCGGCTCCGTCCGCAGCCCCAGATCCTTCCGCTCCGAGGGCTCCGGCCACAAATCAGAAGCCAAATATATCGAGAAGACATCTCCGACCGCTGATACCATCCTCACTGTGACGCCGGCGGCTGCTATCTTACGGGCCGAGGCCGAGAAGATCCGGCAGTACAGCGAGCACCGGCACTCGTACCCAGGGTCTCACCAGGCGGAGCAGCACGAGAGCGGCATGGGTGGGCGCAAGCCTTCCATTTTGGAACCCTTGACCCGCCCCCGCCCAAGAGACTTGGCCTACTCTCAGCTTTCTCCCCAGTACCACAACCTGAGCTACAGCTCCAGCCCCGAGTACACCTGCAAACCCTCCCACAGCATCTGGGAGCGCTTTAAACTGAACCGCAAGCGGCACAAAGACGAGGAGGAGTACATGGCCGCCGGCCACGCCCTGCGCAAAAAGGTCCAGTTTGCCAAAGACGAGGATCTCCACGACATCTTAGACTACTGGAAAGGGGTTTCCGCCCAGCACAAGTCCTGAGTCCTCGGCCTATTCGTGACTTAACCTTGGACCAAACGAAAGACACCAGAATAATAATAATAATTGGAAGAAAAAAATCAGCAGCAGCAGCTATTTCTTTTTAACCCAGACTTCTCTTCGAAAAGGAAAACGAAGAAATAACTTATGAGAATCTACAGCTATTCTATATAATGTATCAGAGAGATGGGGGAGGGAATATGAGGAAAGAAAGAACGAAGGAAGCAAAGGGTATGAAAAGGTATGGAAAGGCTGGTCTTACCGTTGTGGAATCTGCACCAAATTGGAAGAGCAGGGGAGCCCTTTCCCCCAAATACTTAAATGTGGGGAAGGGGGAGAGTTTATGTTTCTTTTTCTAAAAAAAAACACAGAAAATTGAATAAAAAAGGAAGGAAGAAAAGAAAGGAAGGAAGGAAGGAAAGAATGGGAGAGAAACCAAAAGTGTGGGAGAGCCAGGCAGAAAACCAAAGGAGTACGGAGTAAACCACCAACACATCGCATGGCTCCTTCTTCTGTGTTCTTGTGGACTCTATGTACAGTTTTGTCTTCTTCTTCTTCCTTTCAGTAACCAAAAAAAGGAAAACTAAACAAAAAAACCAAGAGGTAAACCAGGAAAAAAAAAGAGCAGAAGGATTTTAAAAATAATAATAAAAAATATATCCTTTGGGCCTTTTGCAAATGGAGTCTTCCAGTTTAGACTATTAATTGCCTGAAGCCCCATTTGTGCAATTTTGATGAGGGTTTGTTCTCTTTTTTTTTTTTGGTTTTGTTTCTTTGGCGGAAGGATCCGCCGCAATCTCGCATTGTAAAGCGGATGCCGTTCTAATTGTACAGAGAGAAGAGAAATTCTATATTTGCAAAACGTTTGCTGTATAATGAGAGAGAGAGAAAGAGAAAGGAAAAAAAATATTACATCTACTAAAAGAAATATATCTATATATTCACCTGTTTGTACCAGGTTTTAATCATGGATTTTAGAAAAAAAGAGAAAAAAAACCTACCGCTGGGCTTGGTTTGAAGTTTTTTGTTTCTTTGAAGGGGGTTTTTGGGGAGGGAAGGGGAGGGGGGGGTCTTGATCCGTTATTCACTGTGGACAGGTGGGGTGTTTCTTGCTTTCAATGAATGTTTGTGACTTCAGTTCTGGTCAATTCCAAGTGCACTGAGAAAAAAAAAAGACACATTCTGTAAGAGAAACAAAACCCAGAGTTGCTTTCGTTATTCAAGGGTCGAGGGGAACGCTGCCTTCCAGAGCTAAAAGGGGAAGGGGCAATGGGGGAGGAAGGCCTTCTCAGTGCTGTGACCCAAGCATTTGCAAAAGGAAAGAGACCACTCCTAGAGATGGTTCCCTCTTCCATCGCTTCTCTCTCACAACACATGCTAGTCATTGTTGTTCTCATGTCCCTCCAACCAGTGGTTCCCAACCTGTAGTCCATGGACCACCAGGGGTCCACAAAAAGGAAAATATAGTCCAGAGCCTCGCCATTACTACACAATTGCCTCAAAACCATGTGGTAACAATGACTGGTTTCATGAATCCCTCTTATAGTGCCAAGGAAACAGGGGTGGTACGTTGATCGCCAGGGGCGTGCAAGAATAAAAATGTAGTCCACGGCTTCACCATTACTACACCGTTGCCTCAAAACCATGTGGCAATGAGAGTGACTAGTCTCATCAAGCCCTCTTATAGTGCCGAGGCAACAGGGATGGTCCGTGGACCGCCAGTGGTCCACAAGAATGAAAATCTGGTCCGCAGCCTCCCTTTGTCTGACATTGTATCCTTCCTTCCTTGCAGGCCCTGGCAGCAGGGGGATGAGTTGCAAGGAGGAGACTGCAAACCAGGCTCTGGCAGTAAGCAGCCTCCTTCAGAACAGGTAAGGAAGGAAGACTCCCCAATGCTGGGCAAAGGGATCCTTCCTTCCTTGCCTGGGCTTGAGGAGGCTGCTGCTGCTGCCAGAGCCCCGTTCACAATCTCCTCCTTTCAAGCCAGCCACTCCTTCCTGTCACCTGGGTCTGCAAATAGTATTTATTTATTTATCGTGTCATCAGCAACCATTGTATCACAATTCTAACAGAGCAAAACAAACACACAGATTAAAAAGAAAAAGAAAAACACAAAGTTTGCAGACTCGGTATTCTATTAAATGTCCTTTGACCAGTCGCTGGCTACTTGGAGTGCCGCAAGAAGGTCCTCCATTGTACATGTGGCAGGGCTCAGGTTGCATTGCAGTAGGTTGTCTGTGGTTTGCTCTTCTCCACACTCGCATGTAGTGGACTCCACTTTGTGGCCCCATTTCTTAAGTTTGGCTCTGCATCTCGTGGTGCCAGAGCGCAGTCTGTTCAGCGCCTTCCAAGTCGCCCAGTCTTCTGAGTGCCCAGGGGGGAGTCTCTCATCTGGTATCAGCCATGATTGAGGTGCTGGGTTTGGGCCTGCCACTTTTGGACTCTCGCTTGCTGGGGTGTTCCAGCGAGTGTCTCTGTAGATCTAAGAAAACTATGTCTTGATTTAAGTCGTTGACGTGCTGGCTGATACCCAAACAGGGGATGAGCTGGAGATGTCTCTGCCTTGGTCCTTTCACTATTGGCTGCTACTTCCCGGCGGATGTCAGGTGGTGCAATACCGGTTAGACAGTGTAATTTCTCCAGTGGTGTAGGGCGCAGACACCCCGTGATAATGCGGCATGTCTCATTAAGAGCCACATCTACTGCAAATAGTAGATTGATCTTAATGGTCACTGGTGTATCTAATTTTTGCCTCAGTGGTTTGCAGTCTCTTAAAGGTTGGCAACCACTGCTCTAAGACTGAGATCATGTTACTTGCTCAAAGTCAAACAGTGGCTGAGTTGGAAGTTGAACCCCAGACTCCTTGAGACTTGTCACAGGACTCAACACCATGATTGTTTTCCCTTACCTCTTTCTCTGTGGGAATTGTCCAGCTTGATAGTGGTCACCCTTTTGCTTTTATATTCCATTTTTAGGGGACCATAGGATAAATGTTCTGGGCACCACAATTGAAGAGAGATATTCACAAGCTGGAATGTGTCCAAAGTAGGGTGACTAAAATGATCCAGGATGTGGAGAACATGTCTTATGAGGAGTGGCTTAAAGAGCTGGGCATGTTTAGCCTGAAGAAAAGAAGGCTGAGAGGAGATATGATAGCCATGTGTAAATATGTGAGAGAAAGTCATAGGGAGGAGAGAGCGAAATTGTTTTCTGCTGCCCTGGAAACTAGGACATAGAAATGGCTTCAAACTACAGGAAAGGAGATTCCATCTGAACATGAGGAAGAACTTCCTGACTGTGAGAGCTGTTCAGCAGTGGAACTCTCTGCCCTGGAGTGTGGTGGAGGCTCCTTCTTTGGAGGCTTTTAAACAGAGGCTGGATAGCCATCTGTCAGGGGTGCTTTGAATGCAATATTCCTGCTTCTTGGCAGAATGGGGTTGGACTGGATGGCCCATGAGGTCTCTTCCAACTCTAGGATTCTATGATTCTATAAATATAAGCAAAGCCCTGTAAATCAGACAAAAGATGGGCATTCAATTCTGGACAAGCGACGCTTAGAATCATAGAATCATAGAATCAAAGAGTTGGAAGAGACCTCATGGGCCATCCAGTCCAACGCCCTGCCAAGAAGCAGGAATATTGCATTCAAATCACCCCTGACAGATGGCCATCCAGCCTCTGTTTAAAAGCTTCCAAAGAAGGAGCCTCCACCACACTCCGGGGCAGAGAGTTCCACTGCTGAACAGCTCTCACAGTCAGGAAGTTCTTCCTAATGTTCAGATGGAATCTCCTCTCTTGTAGTTTGAAGCCATTGTTCCGCGTCCTAGTCTCCAAGGAAGCAAAAAACAAGCTTGCTTCCTCCTCCCTGTGGCTTCCTCTCACATATTTATACATGGCTATCATATCTCCTCTCAGCCTTCTCTTCTTCAGGCTAAACATGCCCAGTTCCCTAAGCCGCTCCTCATAGGGCTTGTTCTCCAGACCCTTGATCATTTTAGTCCCCCTCCTCTGGACACATTCCAGCTTGTCAATATCTCTCTTGAATTGTGGGAATGCAATTTCCAATAAAATGAGAGGTGCAGGCATTAGCAGGAGACTCTGCTGGAGCCCTGCAGCTTCCTAAAGGTAGGCAAAGTTACTTTTTGCAGTAAAAGTGCCAGTGCCCCAGAATGCTGGCTCTGGTATTCTAGTACCTTTAGTCCCAAAATGTAATTTCCACAACCTCTGGGGAGGTGCCGAAGAACCTACATGTGATCACTGGACCTTGAACTGCATCAACTTGGCACTCACATCATGAACCAGGATGAGCCACAAATTTTGAAATTGAAATGTTGGACAACCTGAGATGTGTGCAAGACAACAAAACATTTGATCATAGAAATATTGAGTTAGAAGAGACCTCATGGGGCATTTAGTCCAACTCCATTCTGCCAAGAAGTAGGAATTCCAAAGAAGGTGCCTCCACCACACTCAGGTGGAGTGTGGTGATCAAACCTGGTCAACCTCCAGATGCTTTGGACTTCAGCTCCCAGACTATTGAACAATCTAGCCAGGGCTTCTGGGAGTTGGAGGCCCAAACACCTGGAGGACTGCAGGTTGTGCAAGCCTGTATCAGATGCACAAAGCTGCTTACCCCATGGCAATCTTGTTTTTGAACAATCCACCGTAACATGTACATCATAGATGCCCAGGTTCACCAGCCACAACACTCCTCTGCACTTATTTCCATGCCTCAAAGCTGTTTTGACAAGCCTTCTTGCAAAAGGTTGCATGTATTTTGAAGGCAGCGGGGAGAAAACGGAGAGATCCGGATAAGGAGTAAAGGGCTGGCACACTCAGGTTCATCCCCTCTCTCCCCCGGTATTTATTTGTATGGACAAGGAGTCATTCGTGGTAATTTATAATGAACAGCATATCCACTCGACATAAAGAAAAAAGCAATTTTCAATCCTTTCCCCTCAGTTCTGCCCTGCCTTGTGGAGCCCATAAGGTCACTCCCTGGCACACAGCTTTCTTTGTGATTTCCTTGAGGCTGGGCAAAATAAAGACATTGCCTTCCAAATAAGAAGTCTTCCAACCCTCCATGAATTTTGCCTTCGGCCCACACATTTCTAACAGAAAGATATACTAAAAATCCTTCAATGCACATACTCTTCTATTATTGGGTTGCTGTGAGTTTTCCGGGCTGTATGACCATCTTCCAGAAGCATTCCCTTCTGACGTTTCACCCTTAGAGGTTGTGAGGTCTGTTGGAAACTTAAGTGAGGTTTATATATCTGTGGAATGTCCAGGTTGGGGGAAAGAACTCTTGTCTGCTAGAGGCACATGTGAATGTTGCAATTGGCCACCTTGATTGGCACTGAATGGCCTTGCAGATTCAAAGCCTGGCTGCTTCCTGCTCGAGGGAATCCTTTGTTGGGAGGTGTAACACCTGCGAGGTGGCCAATTGCAACATTCACACTTGCCTCCAATAGACAAGAGGTCTATCTCCAAACCTAGACATTATTCCACAGGTACATAAGCCACACTTGCCTAGTTTCCAACAGACCTCACAACCTCTGAGGATGCCTCCCATAGATGCAGGTGAAAGCCTGGCTGCTTCCTGCTCAAGGGAATCCTTTTTTGGGAGGTGTAACACCTGCAAGGTGGCCAATTGCAACATTCACACTTGCCTCCAATAGACAAGAGGTCTTTCTCCAAACCTGGACATTATTCCACAGGTACATAAGCCACGCTTGCCTAGTTTCCAACAGACCTCACATCCTCTGACGATGCCTGCCATAGATGCAGGTGAAAGCCTGGCTGCTTCCTGCTCGAGGGAATCCTTTGTTGGGAGGTGTAACACCTGCAAGGTGGCGAATTGCAACATTCACACTTGCCTCCAATAGACAAGAGGTCTTTCTCCAAACCTGGACATTATTCCACAGTTGCCTAGTTTCCAACA